TTTGCCAGCCACTGCAGCACTGTTATTTTTTTTCCAGTGGAGTCAATGCAGTATTCAAGATGATAATGGTCTGTTCAGGCACAGAAATATGAGTTGTTCTACTACCATACATGTTAGTGGCACTTTCCTGGATAAACACTGAGGATATAGACAGCATGCAGACAAGCTGTAGAACAGTCCATACAAAAGCATAAGGAAGAAAGGCACAAGCTTGATTTAGGCTTGGAGTATTTGGTCAAAAATTAAGCACACGATGACCTGCTAATTCAAGTAAGGAAGAAAAACAGTAAAAAAATTTCCAAGGGATAAACAAGACTTTGACCGGTGACTTCAGGCTGGAATGATCTTCCTGCTCATTCAGGTGGTGAGAAGTTTTCAGGCAAGGCCCAGCCAACTTTTTGCCAGTTGTATGTATAAGCTGTACATTTAATCAGCTGACAGCACACTGTTTTCAAGAGAGAAAAATGATGGCTAACATGTAGAAACTAGGGTATATACAGTGTGTTGCTTTTCAAATAAATAGTAATCACTCTCTCAGAAATTCATATAATCAGTGTGTCTGTAACAGGGCACTTCTGTTTAGCATGCCAGAGATGTTCCATGGAAATAGGAACAATTCCAAGACTGCCAGGTCAGTACTTCACCACTACTACCTGTACAGTTCTGTGTTCTAAAAAAAACCCAAAAAAACCCATGAAAAAGAAAGACAAAATCTTCCAGGAGCAAGACACACTAATTTAACCAGTGTTAAGGCAGTATGTAGGAAGAAGGCAGCAAAAGGTGCTTGCTGGAGAGAAACTAGGGAACTAGCTAGGGATCAGTGAGCAGATGGCTCCTTCCAGCAGTCCTTGCAGTGAAGCTGAGCAGTCAGTCTCTTCCTCCTGCTGCCATGACACTTCTCTGTGCATACCACCAAGAGACATGCTGTACCTAAGGAAACCTTGAGCTCAGCATGTCAGCAGGCAGAAGGTCAACACTTGCAAAGAACCAAAAGGGGTATCTTATTTTTATGGTGCCATAAGAACTTTTGCTATTTATAAAAACTTTAAGAAAATAAAAAAAGAAACAAAAAAGGAGACTGAGACCATCTCCTCTCATGGCTGGTACAGCCAAGCAGCTTGTGGTATCCACTGAAGGAAAGGTTTGAGTTTTTTTCTGGTCAGTTGATCACTGCTGTGTGGTGATAGAAGGGCTTTGTGGAGGAGTAGGAAAGAGCATGGAGGGCATGTGAAGAGTGGAAGCATGCTGCTGCTTTGACTGTGAAGATGCATGTGCAGAGTCATACAGCTTGAATGGATCCATGGTGTCTATTGGCAATCAGACAAGTTCCATCCTGAGTAGAGTGAGGCACTTGGGACATGACCACCTCCAGGGTCACGTAAGGACTCAAGAGAGCTGCTGGGACTGATGATTCTGAATCCACTCCCTTGCCATTGGCTTCAGTGCATGCAGTGCTCTCTATTTCCCTGAGTCAATGAGCTAGGCAAGGATGGCACCTTCTGCAATGCTTGGAAAGGAATGGCAGTAATGCGAGGCAGGTATTGTACGAACACCTTCTGATTACTCTTAGATTTCCTCCAGTCCTCCTGCCTTCTTTAAATTCCTATCTTCTTCAGCTTTCCAACAGCAGTTCAGTAGCTAGCAAAATGGCTGTCACCTCATTTCTTTGGTCTTAGTTACTGGAACTTAACTGGTAAGCAGTGGAACTCTTCATTCCTCTTCAGTCATGTCAATGCAATGTGCCAAGTGCAAATTGTTAATGTAAGTCTATTTCAAATCACTTCAAAAGCATGAAGAAGGTGCAAGTCCTTCCACTTTACAGACACAGGGAGAGATGAAGCATTGTGCAGGAGACTCAGCTTTGCTTTTTAGCAGAGTTCATGATAAAATCCAATGCACTGGGTCCTATGTCTTCTGCTATAACTGTGGAGCCTTTTGGGCTTTTTCTAGATTAGGGACTTGTAAATGCATGAGAAGGATGTGTGAGATAATGAATTGTAATTAAAATCTATTGTAAATCACGTGTATGCTTAATACCTGCTCCATTTATTGAACTTGAGCATGAAGAAAGCATTCTCAAAGATGAATGAAAGGAAGTGTAATGTAGAAAAGCAAGTGAAAGCGGGATGCTTCTTTACAGATACTATTCACAGCAATTTGAAAACGACCAAAAAGACTATGGAGCCCACATCTCATTTAAAAAAGTGACTGGAGGCTCTCCCACAGGAGGGCAGTGGGGCAGCACCTACTGACCATCAGTGGGACTGCCTGTCTTTGGGGTTTTGAAAAATAATTATACCCAGTGAGTCAGTGAACAAGGGGTCCCATTCCAGGAGGCTTCAGGATGTACATTTTCTTTTAGCGAGATTCTAACATAATGTAGACTCCATTTTTTGGTCCAAGTGTGGCTTTTGATTTCAGCTGCAAAGGAATCTGAAAGAAAAAAGAGCATCTTATGTACAGTTGTATGTATTTGTTTATGTGTGTAAAACACCCCCACATACAGACAGCCATTTTTGCTGGGGGACCAATTCATACCAGGATTACTGTAGAAGCTGTAAAGTATTTGTTTTACAGTCAGCTGTGGTAGTATAATATTAAATAGCATTTACAGCCAGAGGCTGAGGCAGTGGTTGCCCAGGTATACGGTAGATCTGAACAGAAAGAAATTAACTCTGTAAACGCTAGAGCTGCTGAGCAAGTGCCAGGTGCAATGTATACAGCAATAGGCATGTACTAGAGTGCTGAGATCCCATGAAAGATGTACACCCATTCTCACCCTGTATAAATCAAGGTACTCTGACTGTGGTGTTGTTACGCTGCTTTTCATCAGGGCAGGACTGTGTAACTGGAAGTGGCTCTAGCATTTTTCTCAAACAAAGAGAAAGTCACAAAGGCAAGTCAGTTGTCCTGTTTAGGACACACTATCAGTTCCTTGAAGTTGACAAATGTGGCCTTTAAGCCTCTGCATGTACAAACCTCAGTCTCTGGGCAAGTCTTAAATCGAAACTTCTGCAAAATCCTCAGCAGAGTCATTTTTGTCTCCAGCAAACCCATTTTCATGCCCAGGCAGCCTCGGGGTCCTGCCCCAAAGGGCAGGTAAGCAAAGGGATGTCGTTCCTTCTTGGCCTCCTCTGTAAACCTAGAAGGTGCAGAGATGGAAACTAGTTCAAGAAACGCTTGTTTTTCATGTACATCTCAAAAGGTGGTTATTTCAATTGGTCCTAATGGACAGGTCAAGGGGACTCTTGACAGATTATGTCCTGATGGGGCTGATATGCCGAAGGAAACAGATAATTACGGCCCTCAGCCTTTGTCAGCTGGTGATTCCAGGAGAGGATGGACAGACACTAGTGTTACTTCCAATCTATCTTTAATGAATTGCCTTCATTTGATGACCACACTCAGAATAACGATAACTTCAGGTGCAGATGTGCTAGCTGTGTAGACCTTTGTATGTACGAGTGAGAGACTACAGGTAAAAGGAAACTATGGGCTGCAAAGTGAGCTAAATAGAATTAGCAACAGTGCTTCCCTGCTGTGCGCAACAGATGTAGATCAAGGGGAATCTCTCTTTGAAGCTTGCAAGGGGAGATGAAATCTCATGGGATTGGACAGACCATGGAAGATGGCTATTACACTTCAGTACAGCCCTTTTTTCTGCTCTTGGACCAAAGAGACCAGGTTCCCAGTTGGAAAACATTGAAATTGCAGACAGTTGTGTTCTTAGAGCTGAAGTACCTCAGTCCAGGTGGAAAGACTGATTAATATGGCAGCCTGTATGCAGATCTGCATCATCTAGCTAGCTTTAAAATACTTGATCAACCAATTAGAAATGAGCCTTATTTTTCTTTTTTCTTTTTTTTTTTTTTCTTTCACAAGGAAAGAAACAAAATTCCTATTTGAACAGCAGTCCAAAGGAAAAAACGTAAAATCTGTTTGCCAACACGTGCTGGTTTTGGCTGGGCTAGAGTTAATTATCTTCATAGTAGCTAGTAGAGGGCTATGTTCAGGATTTGTGCTGAAACCAGTGTTGATAATGCAGGGATGTTCTCATTATTGCTGATCTGTGCTTACATGGAGTCAAGGCCTCGTCTGCTTCTCACCCCACCTCACCAGCAAGTGGGCTGGGGGTGCACAAGAAGTTGGGAGGGGACACAGCTAGGACAGCTGATCCCAACTGACCAAAGGGATATTCCATACCATATGACATCATGCTCAGCATATAAAGCTGGGGGAAGAAGAAGAAACAGGGAGGGGGGCGATCGGACCGATGGTGCTTGACTTCCCAAGTAACCATTATGGGTGATGGAGCCCGGCTTTCGTGGAGATGGCTGAACACCTGCCTGCCCATGGGAAGTGGTGAATGAATTCCTTGTTTTGCTTTGCTTGTGCACAGAGCTTTTGCTTTAGGTATTAAACCGTCTTTATCTCAACCCACGAGTTTTCTCACTTTTACCCTTTCCATTTTCTCCCCCATCCCACTGCGGGGGAGTGAGTGAGCGGCTGCGCAGGGCTTAGTTGCTGGCTGGGGTTAAACCACAGTACAACATCTGCAATGATGGATGTATACTGGACAGAATATGTACAGACAAGAGTACAGAGTCTGAGTCAGTACAAGTTATTAGGGCCAATGCATAATCAACAAGGTGAAGCTCATCCTGGCCTGTGCTGAGTCACTGGTCGGTGTCGTTCCTCAAAAGAAGCAAACTTTTACAGTGATGGCATTACCCGAGAAATCTACAGAGTCCTCCCATGTCATAAGGTATTTGGAGCTGTTCTGGCAGCACAGAACTACTTTTCCAGTTCTGTATGTGGATAAAGGTTCTGTCCTTCATGTATAGGGTCATTCCTGAAAATCTCTCACCTGTTTGGATACAGTTTGCAAGAACTTTAGACTGCTAAGGCCCAGAGAACTCATGCAGGGTAGAAAGAGATGAGAGGTAATACATGCTATTTTGAGGTTTGGAAAAAAGTAATATTGTGTATTTCCACTACCCCCCTCCCTGTGCTTATATATCCTAAATAAGATTGGGATACTACTGCAGAAAGTACTATAGAAGCCCATAATTTGAAATTGAAGGACCATTAACTCAGGTACTGAGCAGTGTTGCATATCCCATGCAAACAGGTTAATGCAATTCTTGCCTTGCTCACCCTCATATATCATTCTGGTAAATTTAAAGTCTCCCTTGTCTTATCCCTGAGGCAGATTTCAAAACGAAATATTAGGGAAAAAAAAGGCTGTAGCTGAATTAATTTATTTTTTGTTAAGCTCTTATTTTAGAATTCTTAGCAACATTACGAACTGATACAAGCTGGGGAGAGTGTTAATAATTATGCTTCATTCCTCAGGGAAATTTCAAAAGGGAATTCATCTTAGATTCACAACAAACAGCACTGTGTGAGTCAAGCGGACTGCAGCCCCCACTATCCACTTTACCCTGTAATGCGCTTTCTATTCTACTGTTAAAGTAGTGAATAAACAATTAAGACAGCATTTCTAGATAAGTGTTGCTAAAACCCCTCCCCAGACTTCCAGTTGTTGCTAAGATTCCTCCCCAACAAAAGCTCTGGGCTTCTCTAACCCTGGCATTGCTCTTCTTCATGGCCTATGTGGCTGATAGAGCATATGCCAAGATTTGCTCCAGAAGGAGCACTGGGCAAACCCACCTACACCATACATGTGTTGTCTTACTGGCCAAGATGGTTCTGGGCTGCCTGCCTCACGCTCGGTTGTTTGTGGAGCATGCATTTTTTTTCTTAGTAGACTTTTCAAGGTAGTGGTAGCTTAAAATGCATATGCCTACAGAATGGCTTAAAATATAGCTGCACACAAAACTAAACTCTGCTTCCACACAGCATCCCATCAGCTGAAAGTCTCCCTGTAAGATAGGACAGGTAAAAAACCCACAACTTGACAGTGCCTGCCCCGCCCCCCCCAAGTTAAAGAGATCAAATGCTCCTTGTGAAAGTAGATCTTGCCAAGCAGATCTGAGAACTCAGGATCCTGACACAGACAGAGTGCAAATTCCCAGTGTGAGATGGGACAGGTTCCCCACTCACAGTGTACCCACTCCATTACAAGATCTCAGATGAAAAGGCTGCTTTAAACCAGCCAGGAGCTGCACGAGTTTCCTGGGTACCTCCCCGGAGTAGCAGTGAATATACTATCTCACGTCAGAATTTCTGCATCCAGAGGCAACACTATTTGCAGCATCTGATTTGAAAACAGGTCTGAAAACCCACGCCACATTTCAACCTTGACCAAACCTCACAGAATCTGTGGGATGTGCCACTACCGCCACTTGCCTAATTTGGTAGAAATAACATATTTTTATGATCCTAATTAACTTGTGCTACTCTTGGTGGAAATAGTGCTTTGGGTGAATAGTGAGTGACCGTGGCTGTGAACAAGCAGCAGGATCTGGTGTCTCCACTGGACAGGCTGGAGTCCTGTGCCCACCCCAAAGCGTGAAACAGCATTTAGGGCAGGCCTTTGATCTAAACAGGCCCAAATAAGGACTTCAACCTAAGAATGGAAAGCATTACTCCACATACCTCTCGGGAATGAACTTCTCAGGCTCTGGCCAGAACTCAGGGTTGTGGTGGAGATGTCCAACTGCAGTTTCAATGACAGCCCCAGCTGGAATACGCTGCCCCAGCACTACACAGTCTTTAGCTGCTTCCCGAGTGAACCTGCAACAGTAAGTGTCATGTATCCCAGATGATTAATAAAGACAAAAACACAGCAGGAGGGAACCATAAAAGTCAATCTCTTCAGCTGGACTGACCCTGCAGTTTTAGGAGTAACACTTTCCCAGTAGATAAATACAGCAACCCTTGCTGATGCTCGTGACTTCTCAGGTTACAATCATCATCACCTAGAATCACACAGCTCCAACCCAGCTTGCTAGCTTTTGCCCTTTTCACACTAAAAAATTTCTGGTTGCTTACAAGTTTCCAAAACATTAATCGTTACACTGCAATTTTGCTGCTAATGTTTGGTTTAGACTTATTTTTTATGAAAACTGAAGATGAAATGTGTCAGTCATCCCTAATAACAGGCAGAAAGAGTATGCTGGTTTGCTTTCAGGAAAAAAGTATATCAAGAAGAAGCACACCCATGCTGGGACAGCACTGGAACTTCACAAGGTATGGTTATAATATTAGGACTAAGTGTTCTGATGCTGCTACAAAAATACAAACAATTCACAAGCCTTGGAAAACTTCATTTCACATACACTCATCAAAGATAAGCATGATGTTAGCAACAAAACTCTCCGGTTTCCTCCCACCCTGTGGTGACAGGTGACAGAGTAGGACTGTCCTTAGCAACCTCATCATGACAAGAAGACTGAGAAAAGTTGCCTGCCGAAGCTGAGCTTGGGTTTGTAGATGAAAAAATGGTGTGTGGGTGTGCATGTGTGGTGGCAGATCCTGATCTAGATCTTTTGGTGCTTGGGTGGTCTCTACAGACCCCAAACCAGCCCAGACCCAGGCAGGTCCCTGCTATCTCAGCCTAGGAGCTATTCCCTGGCACCAGCTGGGAGCACGGGGATTGGACAACATGCAGGAGCTCCCTTTGCTGCTCCCCATGCTGTGCCTAAAAAGTTGAATGAAGACTTCAGTTTCAGAGCTGTCAGTCTGGTATCATTACAGGAATATATTCTTGCCTTGCTGTCACCCATCTCTCTCTTTCTCATAGATGAATAAATAACAAAGACTTCAAACCTGGAGCAAAACACTGGCATGCTAAAATACGTTGACAAGCCATCCTTCTCATCCTTACATGAATTTGGTGAAAGTCGTCTGGCTAATGAGTTCTTTTTTTTTAAAAAAAAAAACAACTCATTTTATAACAAGCTTGGCTGCTACTGAGTTTTCCCCTAACTCAGCATTATCTTTGTCATAGGCAATTAGCATCTTTCCGAGGCACTGGGCTGTCCTATCCATTCCACATCCATCAGAGTAGAAGCCAGATCAATAAACATCACCGACATCACCAACCGAAACTTCAGGACAACTTTGCTCCATTCTCATTCCGTTTCCCATCTGACAAACATTGATTGTTTCCCAGTGTTTCAGCTGAAACTCAAAGATCCCTGACGCTTTAACTGGCAAAACAATTTCCACTTGTACACCATGTATAACATAGTAAAGCTCAGTCATCTCATCCAGCAGCAAGTATCTTTGACATGTACTCTCTGAACAATCCTGCAGATGTCCATGGAAAAATCTAGACTTCTGATCTTTGTGAACATATAGAAGAGAATATGATTTTAAGCTTTTTTATTTTAAGGTGCTTGCAATCATGGGGTAAATTTTTCAAAGGCTCTCACAGCAAGCTCAGCTTTGGCTCCTTTCCAGTCATCTGAATTTTTTCCCCGGCTTCATGAGAAGCAGTGCAACTGGCTGACCGCTTTGAAAAGTTCCGTTCTTAACATTTGCATTTATGCTTCTGATAACTTGGAAACTTGACAAACAGTTTTCTAATTGGGTTTCCCCTTGTTTTCAGTTCATTGATATAACTTAATAAAATTAGTCTTGTGTGAACAGGGGGGGACAAGACTTTCAAAATTTAATTGATGTAGCCATTAGCTTAGCTATATTAGTATAACACAGTACTAAATGCAAAATAGTAGGGGTCCAAGTTAAACACACATGTAAAATACAGCTTTCTGAATGTTCAACCCTTCCACAGATCAGGGCCTTAATGATCAACAGACTAGGGTAGGTCTTTGCTCTGTGTCCCCGAAGCCCAAGGCATATGGAAGCATCATCATCTGACTTTCTAAGGCCAGTCCTGCTGCAAAATGGTTCCATCCTCTAACCTTGGGGGATGGGAAGAACGGTGAGGAAGCAATCTTGGCCAATCCATTGTAAAAAAACTGTTTTAGAAATACCAATATTAGCCAGTTTTCCTTCAACAGGCACATTATATCTTTCAAGTGCACAAGCAGTATTGATGTTGGCACAGAGACCAAGGGCACGTTGGTCTTCCAACAGCAGATTTCCATTTTATAGAGCTAGGGATCTACCCTGTGGAATCAGAAGGGAAAAAAAAAAAAAAAGATACCTGAATGCAGGTGGGTACATGCGCAATGTCTCTGCAATCACCATGTCCAGATAAGGGAGTTCTTGTACATTTTGATAATCAGGGACCATCTGAAAAGGCAGGAAGAAAGGAACAATTACATTTTCTCACATTTAAGTGCCAAACTCATCTCAGATTAGCTTTTAAATCATCTATTTTTTACTGGGCATTTTTCCTGTAGAAGAACTCGATGTCTCATCTAAAACAGTAAATGATAAAATTATACAAAAATGTGGGCAGTAATTAAATGTGTGTATAACATTCCTTTCATCATCAAAATGCTTTGGTGCGCAGCCCAGCTGAAGATATAATAATAAATCGTCTTGCTAGGAAGTATTAAAAACAGGGCATTACAGAGAGCATTAATAGCTACAACAGAGCTACTGCTTTATACAAGCACTAAGATCCACACAGGATCCTTGTTTCTTCCCAAAGACAAGAGTGTGGCAGACCAGGAGCACTTCGTTCACAAGAAACAGCTACTCCTTCAGTTATTCTTGTTGCTGTTGGGCAACCCTTTGCCCTTTTCCAGTTATAGAAATAAGGCAAACTGCTAGTGCTGTAATGCCTGCAGAGGGGTGGGAGGTGGCACTGGAAGAAACTGGCACCCTGATGAGGAATGGCACGCAGCGACAAATTGCTCCACCGAGTAGAGGGGGCTGAGGTACAGCTCAAATCCCACCTGGCAGGACTGCAACAGTGCCTGGGGAGAGAAGCCTCTTTCCTCCCGTGGCCACCCCTTGTGTAATGCTGCTTAATTTTGCATGGCGGGCAACGCCTGAGCCCACATTTTTGTAAGTCTACAAAACCACCCGGCCCTTGACAACGAGTGGTGGGCACTAAAACCCAGCCAGGGCTGTAGCTCAGAAGCCTTTGCCCTCTGACTGGCAGCAAACAGACAATGAAACACACCAAACCGCAGACGACCACCAGCAGCAGTGACACGACTCAGCACATGGACGAACAGAATTTCTCCCACTGTTACCTTCCCTGGAAAAAGGACATTTTCCCTGTCTTATTCAGTACTCTCAGCAGAGGGCAGCCAAAGCACATCCAACAACCTCGTCAGGAAAGCAGAGTTTTGTTTTAAATTAGAGCATCTCCTAAAGACTGACACAGAGTAAATCGGAGAAAAGCACAGACGTCAGACTAGACTAAACCTTTTATGAAGATTTGGGGCCCCTGCCGTTCACAAAGGGGACTGGATTCCATCCTTCCTTTATTTACTACAGCACTTTTCATGTATAATGCATATTTTATTGAATTTTCATGCAAAAACATATGGTACATACTGAAAATACTAAGCAGAGAACAACTCCAGATGGTATGCAGAAAAGGCGTACAATAGAACGAGGATACCTTGCTGGATTAGGGTATCACACTTATTCAGCACTAAGCCACCATGCACCATTTCACATTAACTGATCTTTTCTAGGAAGGAAATAGATACATTCTATTATCCCCATTTTTTGGCTCAGGAAAGAAAAGCAGAACCAGAGAAAGTAATTTGCACAGGCTGAGGAGAATCAGTGTGTCTGCTCCTCTCTAAGAGAAAAAGATGCAACTCAGCTTGTCAATAGATGAAGTATTTTGTCAGTATATGTCAAATATTATCAATACAGGAAGTACAGACTGCATTGACAGCCTTTCAATGTTGTTTTCATATTGCAGTAGTCCTTTGGCTTAGGTCGATGGTTATCAGACAAAGGACTAGGAGACTAAAAGCCACAAATGGCCGCAATGTCATGAGAACTGTGGCTGAAGGGTGAGCGAGGAGCTGCACTCCAATAATTTGAATAGCTAAAATCAAAGACAGGAGGATGATTTTCATCATCCTTGTTGTGCAGAAAGGGATCTGAGGGCTACCTGATTTCACGTGGGAAGTCAGTAGCAGAAGCTGGAAATGAACTGTGATCAGACTCAAATTTCAGGCCTTTGTGGCAAAACTACCCTTCTCCACAACCACACGGATGCTCCACACTTTGATGCAAATGCATGCTGTGGTGTGGGGTGTTTTTTTTTCTGATAATTTTATGTCTCTCTTTCAGAGCTTTCCTCTGTCCTTTTTATACTCTCCTGCATCTCTTTGAATTCTGCGCCAGCATCTGAGTCCTCTCCCTGCAACCCCTCCTGATTTTATGGACAGGCTGGCTGAGGGAAGAGTTCAGGCTCAGAGTAAATGAGCGGTGGAGCCAAGAGCACACCGTGATGTGTTCGATTCTTTGAGCCATGCTCTTTCCACTGGGCCTTCCTAGCTCTCTCATAATCCCTCTACTTACTTCTGGAGTCAATAATTAAGATAATTATATGGTAACCTGATATAATAAGTAGCCACTAAATCAAACCATACATCAACAAATAATTTAACACTAAATTATGGGAACTTTGATTTGCTCTTTCAAATAGCTTCTATACCTTCAGGGGATTAGCAGTTCAGAAAACAAAACAAAGGTGCAAAACCAGCTGATTTTCCTTAGAAGAAAATTCCTTTTGCTTACATAAAGAAAAGGGGTCGGTCAAATGGCAGCACAGTGAACTCTGCTATCATGAGCGTGGCAGACACATCAGTCATTTCCTACATCTGACGCAACTTAATTATTGGCACTTCCATGCTTTTAGCATCATCAAAGTAACTGGACATAATTTAGTAGTTGTTTGCAAGGTCTGACCTGAGGCTGCGTAAAGTACACACCAGCCAAGTACCTCTATTTAGGAACGACAGTTTGTTGCTTTTTTTTCCCTTTCAAAGAAAATATTTTCCATTTGTTTTTCCACTCCCTGTCTTCAAAATATGCCTTTAGCCCAGCACATTTCAAAGGAACTTAAATATACTTTTCTCCCTAAATGTCCCTATTCATATCTTTCGACTGCTGGTAGGTTTGCTGGGGTGGGGGGTGGTGTTGTGCAAAGATGCCACTTTAACTCCCTGCAAAAAAAAAAAAAAAGTCTACATTGCCTCTTACTCAAGATTGGGCGTTTTTCATTAAGAAAGAGATTCCTTTCTGTAACAAGTAGAGATGTGGGGGAGAAAGGAGGCACCACATTGCATGCAATGAAACATCCCATATTTTAATTTTGCAGCCACTGCTTTGCACAGCAGTTTGTCTTATGCTTTGCACAGTCTTGTAGTATCTGTTCCTGTTGACGTGGAAGTGAAATGGCCATGTAACATCTTGTGGAATTTGCTCTGTATGTTTCCCCGGTTTGATTTCTGAGGTGTGGTGGTACATTCTCACCTATTCCAGACCGTTCAATCACTTCTGATGTCCAGAAAGCATCTAGTTTGGTCACAAACTCTCCTTTGTGACTGACAAATCCCAGGCCTCTATTCCTTAGAAAAAGGTGGGAAATTAATTCTTCACCCCACAGAGTACCCTGAGGTGAAATACCAGCAGTGATTATAAAATTGCCTATGTGCTACAAGGATGATGCATGTTTTAATCCCCAGATAAATTCCAAGAGAGATAATTGCCTTCAGATCCACCTCTGCTTTTCAGTATTGGCTTTAACGTTTTCTAGGCAGGCAAACTTATTTTTTGCCACCACCCTCAGTTAACTTTTAATTCCTCAATGAACACCAAGGGAATCCAAGTGCTGACAGGAAAGGTCTGGCCAATCTTTCTGCTGCAGTTTGAGATGTTACTGTTCCCAGTTGCTCGCTCCTCTTTGCTGGCTGTGGTTAGCATCACCACAGCCAAGTCAGCAGAAGGGAACATATGCCTGCACCTCAGTTGCTTCCATACAGCGTCCAGCATGAACCCCTCTTCAGCAACAGTTTAAGATGCAATACTAACTTTATCCCAAAGCAGGTGACGAGTGAGGCACAGATCCTCTTCTATCACCTCTGTTTTGGAAATGGTAATCCAAGTACACATCAGTCAATAAGAGATTTTTACTTATCCTGTTGGTCATGGTCTGGTAGCACTCAGCAGCCACAAATGAAAAAAAATCAGAGAAAATTTGGTGTAGCTGACAGTGTGACATGCACCTGAAATCAATCTGGAAGCAGCAAAGGCTGCACAGACCACATTCCTCATAACTAGCACTGCTGAGTCATGGCCTGAGACTGAACCGGCTGTGGTTTCTGAGAAATTGCAATCGAAATCAAATGCCTCATGTGCAGGTGTGACTGTGACAAAGTCCATGTCAGAGAGATGATGTGCAGATCTGCTTAAGTGCAGATGCAGAACCATGAGTTATCTGCGTATGCATAGCTACGCAGCCCACATCGGCTTTCACCCAAAATGTAGACTTTGGATAGCAATAGGGTAGGAGGTGGTGAGTCAAAAACAAGCCAGCATCATCCCCAGTGACTCTCACCCACCTCCTTTTCAAATTGCTAAAAGAGCTATTCAGACCATAGCTGTAGCTAGGATTCACAAACAGGTCAGTGTTTCTTAATCAGATGGATCAAAAGTTGCTGACTGATAGATCAAAGAGTCTGCCTGGTGTTTTGACCTCGTTTTGGTCACCTCTAGGAGCTGCTCATCCCCTAACAGGACTAGAGCCTGTGTGCCATGCTCAGCCTGGGAGAGGAGGAAGAAATGCAAGAATACTGTGTCAAGTTAGGGTTGCCCTACGACAACCTCGCTAACAACTGTATCAAGAAAGGAAAGGTTAGCAATGGGACAGCACTCAAAATGCAGATCAATGAAAAAAAGAGGTGGGATGGTTCAACAGGCACCTATGTTTAACTTGCTTAAATAAAGCTTGCCTCATGTTTTACCACTTCCACAATGGTATGCTGGAATACCTGTAAAGCACCAAACTAAGACCTCCCTACAAAGTCAGGCAGTGAAATAGGGACAAAGTTGATGAAGCAAAATTTCTTGGCTTTATCTTCAGAACTTGGACCAAATACTAAAAAAATGCTTAAGGCAGTCCTCATGCGATACTCACTGCAAAAGCTTTCTCTCTGCTCTCTGCAGTCCAGCCTGCACCTGCCAAGTGAGACATCTCTCCGAGGCACGGCACCAGGCAGAACCAGCCCTTGCCACCAGGGAAACAGGACCCTGAAGCTCCTGAGTCCCACTTGTCCCAGGAGGCAGGTCATGGCAGATTGCTTTAAGAT